CTAATAGATGGCCTGAATTTCACACGCTAGTTGCATTTGGATCATGAATTTGAGTAGAGATTTGAAAAAGGATAAAGAAAAAGTGAGGGAATACACTAAGCTTGTAAAGAAAGTTCAACTAATCTTGTGCATATTGGGCATTGTTTATTTTCAGCATGTAAAGGAACGCATGAATTATTCAATGTCACTATCGGTTGTGAAGGAAAAGGAATGGAAACTGTAACAAAAATTTAACTTTTAAAATTGACGAATGTCTGTAGTTTGAAAATAGGTGCTGTCATCTAACATTGTGATGAGTTGTGTTAGGTAATCTTATAATTGTGCTTTTAAGAAAAGATTTTGATTTGATCATTTTAGAAAACATGTGATTTGATTTTGAAATATATGCCTTTTATTAGGAAGATGACTCCAAAAGGTCAAAATAAAACTGGGATGGCATGTCCGGAGTTTGATTACAAGTATGGAGACTGCAATTCCCTTGTCTTCTTATTTGTGAAAGAAAGGTTGCTATATGTTACAAGAATACTTCACTCAAACCCTTCTCATCTTATTTGATATTTTGAACGGCATGATAGGCTTCATGATTTTCAAATATAATAAATTTTACACATATGTATGGCCTTTATTGAATAGATACATATAGGAGATAAAATTAAATCTAGTGACAAATTAAATAAAGCATATGCTTCAATCTTTGGCTTGCCAACACAAAAGTATTGATACTACTAAAAATCTCAAATTATTTATTTATTTATTTATTTATTTAGCGATGGCACGGTGCTGTTGCCAATATTCCGTAACTGTTGCAAATTAGCGGCGACAAGTGAGGTGAGGCAAAAGTAAGTGTGACAAAAGGTATATGCAACCTCTTCATCCAACCTATTCTATTGTTTGCTACAATTTATTTATTTTTATTTTTTTGTGATGATGGTAACCACACACCATGTAAGTATTAATGTTGTGTTTAGTTGGGGATTTGAGAAAAGGATTTGAAAAGAAAAGTGGAAAAGGTAGGTGAAATGTAAATAAAATATACCCACATTTCACCTAGTTTCACACAATTTTTCTCTTTCTCTTTCCAAATCCCTCCCTAAATCCCTCAACCAAACACAGCGTAAAGGAACCTGTATTGTAACATTTTATTGTTGTCTAGAAACATTTACGTGGCATAAATTTTCAAAACTTGTTTCATATATTATTTTTTATCAGAAAAAAAAAAGTTAGATTAATTGAATATCTATAGACTTAAAACAAAAGCACATTAGTTTTCAAAAAAAAAATAAAAATAAATAAATAGTTAGAATAATTTTAATAATTAATACTTAATCATGAAATTACACATATTGTATTAATTTAATTTTTTTGTATGTGTGAGGATATATTTTCTGAATACCAACACGTGGCATGGTGACGCCGACGTGTCAGCCGAGGTGCCACGTGTCCTGGTAGTTACGTCGAGGTGATCTCGGAATTGCCGAGGTTATCTCCAAAGATATCGGAATCCGAGATAGGCGGATAGGGGACAAGAGTCCTAAGACGAAGAGGGGACTTAACCTAGATAAGGATAAAGCTCTTAGGGAGTTTATCTTTATCTCTTAAAGAGTCCAAAGTAAACATTGATATGAAGTTCATAGAAGTCATACTTCTAGTGGGACTTGGATTGAGTATATTATAAAAGAGAGGCACCCCCGTGGGTCTAAGGTATGCAATTTATGTTTTGAGTATTCAGTTTAGCACTTGATTATCTTTGAGATATACCGACTTGATCGTCGGAGTGCCCCCGGGTGGAAGAATCACCGCCGGAGCTTTTTCTTTCTGTTACAGGTTGCTAAAGCCATCTATTCTGCCTGTGCTCTCCAGCTAATCACTAAACGGGCAGTGTGGTCAGATTTTTACCCACACAATTTGGCGTCATCTGTGGGAACGAAGGAAGAATAGATGGCCAGTAACGGACAGCAGGAAAATATTGGGGATGACGCTCCTACTGGGAGTGGCAGACCAATTGACCTTGACATCGAAGGAGATAACCACAATGCAGAAGCCCGTGACCATGTTGATCACTAAACGGGCAGTGTGGTCAGATTTTCACCCACACAATTAGCATATTTTATCTTTTTGTGCTAATTTAGCCACTTTAGCCCTTCCCAAACAATGCCTAAAAAGTTAATTATATGAAAAATGTTTGATATACCTAATTTATCACTCCTAAAAATCACCTCTAATGATGTGTTTGACAAGTGTCAAATTTTAATTTGTCAAACATTCTATCGTGTTGGGTCTAACCTCTCAATACTACATCATTAGAGATTATTTTTGTGTGATAAATTAAGGGATGTTGCATTATTATAATTATATATCAATATATCTTTCAATCATTTTTATATAATTTTTTTTTATCTTACATAAAAAATTATATTCCATCATGTAATCAAATTCTGTGTATTCAAAAAAAATTCTTTCAAATTGAAACAAATCTCGCTAACAAGTTCCTAGAAGATGATAAAAAAAAAAGTTCCTAGAAGAAGAGAAAATGACCAAAAAAAAAAAAAAAATGTAAATCTCAAAACATTTATTATTAAATTTAATATATTTTTTTATATGAATTTCAAAATAACTTTTAACCTCTAGGTCATGTTTGTTTCGCAGTTTGAGTGGCTGGATTGAATTAACATGGCTGGGGATCCTAGCCACAACATGTGTTGGTAGTGAAATGAAAGGACAGATTGATAGTTTAAGGGGCTTAGTAATTCCCATCAGTAGGGGGATTGGCTTAGGTGAGTTTTGGGTGGGATTGAAAAAATAGTGAGGGGATTGAATCTATTTTATATAAAAATTTATTTTTTTTACCAAGTGCGCCTGTTTTTTGTTTTGGGTGGGATTGAAAAAATAGTGAGGGGATTGAATCTATTTTATATAAAAATTTATTTTTTTTTACCAAGTGCGCCTGTTTTTTTAATATTTGTTTTAATTTTTTTAATATAAAAATAATTTATTTATTTATTTAATATAAAAATAGTTTAATAATCTCATCACTAACCATCTCTCGTACCATTATTAAAATAAACACACTTTTACTTAATCCCCTCACTAACAATATCCACATTAATAATCTTTTCACTAACTATCCTCTCACTAACAGTCCTATCAAATTTAATCCGCTAAACAAACGTGACCTTAGATTATATTTGATTAAGAAGATTAATAACGAGAAAATAAACAATTTATGAGAATTCGTGTAAGATTCGTTATTCAACTAAATTAGTGAGACAAATAATCTTTTTTTGTCCACGTTTATTTCGCAATCGATATAAAAATATATAATTCTGACGTTTGTTTTGAATTATTAGTTGTAGAAATAAAAAAAATTATCAATTTTATTTGATAGAATGTCTATCGAAATCTAATTTAATTAATAAAAATTACAACTAAATAATAAAATATGAGTTTCATAAATTAATAATTTCAATTTTATATTATATTCTATCAATTAATTTATTTTAATTTCTTCAAATTCGAGATATTCGACAAATTCAACTTTATCCCAAAATAATAATATAATAATTATTAGAGTAGTAGTCGAGATCATGGGTTAATGACAGTACATCATAAAGCAGAGCTAACTATTATTGAACTTGGGCCATATTAAACTTCTTCCACTCTCGTCGCAGCATGGGGATTGTGACTCTCTTGGGTTTGCTGCTCATTCATTCTTATTCTTCTGGAATCTTCCTCACCCATTTTTATTTTTATTTTATATTTTATTTATATATATTTGAGAAATACTTCCGTGTATGATACATATCATATAGGGATGTGCGCGGTGCGGTTCGGGCGATTTGAGAGTAAAATAACAAATCGAATCGCGGGTTGACGGATTAACGGATTGTCAAAATGCAATTTTGGCAGTTTTTGCAGGATTGGCAGATTGAATAATATTCTAACTAATTATTATACATTTGCATAATATATAACACTAATTTGTACAATATTTTTTATCTATATAACACAAAGTAATTTTACATAATATGTTTCATAAATATAACTACTAATTTGTAATAAATTTCATATCTTAAATATCTCGTACACTCATTTTTACATTGATATTTCATTGGAGGTTAAAAAATATATATGTATTAACTATAGCGGAGCGGAGCGGTTCGGTTGGCGGATTATAAATTTTAAAGTTTAAACCGCGGTAAGTGGTTAGAGCGGTGCAGATTGATGTGGATCGGTGTGATTTTGGCGGATTAAGCTGTATTTTGTACAACCCTAATATCATATATAATTCAATCACAAAATTATATAAATTTCTATAAATTTACATACATAATCTCATAAAAATAGGTAAATTGAATACAAATTCACGTAAAATATTAAAAACTTACATGATTTTATAAATTTATACAAATTTGTGATCTCCTCGACAACAGGACAAGAAAGTAAGAACGGACAACAGGACACCTTGGAAGCTTCCAGGTTATAGTCTCTTATTCGGAACGGACAACATAATACCCTGGTGATCTCCTCATGGGGCGCTGTCTTAAACCTGCGAGAGAATGAGAGGATTTTCCTGTAACAATAAATAAATAAATAAATAAATAAAAATAAAATAAAATATTGATATGACTATGGTTATAGACCTTAAAAATTCTATTAAAATTTTTATTAAATGTCTCACATGAGTGTGAGATTTACATAATGTAGGTTCTATATCAAACGTTTGGTAAAATTTTTAATAAAATTTTTAAAATTTTTAATATTTTTAAAAATAATATTTTTTCATATCTTTTATAATCATTAATTAATTGTATAACTTTACACATGATTGATCCAAAATAACCTCATTATGGCATTAATATTAGTATTTCCTTTTTCACACGCCAGCTAATAACCTCTTCACCAATTAAAGCCTAATTACTATAAAACGACGGCGTGTTACCCGTTGACAACTTAAAACGACACCGTGACTCGCAACAAACTCAGCAAAAATTGACACCCACTCTTCGCTCTCCCTTTTGTTCCTTCCTCAAAGCAAAGCAAAGTAAAGCAAAGTAAGGGGCAAAGCAAAAGAGCATTCCAAGCTAATTCAAATCCGAATTGTCACTTTGTTTCTTCAAATTCTTCAATTTGTTCATAATCAAACCCTGAATTCCCCAAAAATCGATTCACAGTGTGTGATCGGTGAGCCTCTATGGGATGTACGCAATCGAAGATCGAGAACGAAGAGATAGTAAATCGATGCAAGGATCGAAGGCAATTCATGAAAGACGCCGTAACGGCACGGAACGCTTTCGCGGCGGCGCATTCCACCTACGCCGTCTTCCTCAAGAACACCGGTGCCGCCCTCAGTGATTACGCCGTCGGCGAGGTTCGACACCCCCACATCTCCTCTTCCTCCGCCGGCGGAGGCGGCGCCTCCGCAACCCTGCCTTCCTCCGCCGCCCAATCTCACTACGAAGCCTTCCGCCCCCCTCCTCCTCTCCCTAACTATCCCCCCTCTCCTCTCCAACGCGCCGCCAGTATGCCTGAAATTTCTGTTCACAAGTCCGATCTGAAGCGCTCCGATCCGATAATCGAGGAAGAGAACGAAGAGGAAATCGAGAATGAGAGTCACAGCTTGAAACACCGGAGCTCTCGGAGCTCCGGCGGCGGTGGAGGTGGGGGTGGGAGTATGAGTGGTGTTTCTGATCGAAATGTCGAAGATGAGGGTTTACCAGCGCCGCCATCTCCGCCGCGGACTGATCGGGCGCCGCCGCCTCCGCCGCCGCCGGAGTCCAAAGGGCTTGGTTGGGATTTTTTCTTTGCTCCCATGGAGAACGTGCCGGCGCCGAGCTTGGCTGAAGTTGATGAGGATAGGGTTGAGAGAGAGGAGATGGAAAGGAAGATGAATGAGGAAAGGGCTAAGAAAGCTGCAGCTGCAGCTGCTGCTAATGCTGAAGTTGTTGATGGTGGAGAGAGGCGGAGCGTGAAGGCTGAGGCTGCTGAGGCGGCGGCGGAGAAGGCGGCTGCGGCAGCGGCGGCAGCGGCAGAGCTACCACCTCAGCCACCGCCTGCCGCCACCAAGACCGCCAAGAAAGGGAAGCAGGTGGCTATCGTGGAGGGTAAGCGAGGGGGAAAAGTCCCCTCCAATGTTAATTTGTTGCAGATATTTAGTGAACTTGATGATTGTTTTTTAAGGGCATCAGAGAGTGCTCATGACGTTTCAAAGATGCTTGAAGCAAATCGGTTGCATTACCATTCCAATTTTGCAGATAATCGAGGTATTAGGCTTTATCTTTCTCATTGATTTAGATGCTTTTAGTTTTTGAGAATTTTGAAGATCCGAAATTTGAAGCATTGGTGATTCTTCATACAAGTCCTTTGAAGTTTGATCCTACATTGTATTTAAACCTGCCAAATTTGGTACAATATGCATCTATGATAATCTCAAAGATGGAAACTTGAGAACAATATGAGTTAGATTGCACGAATTTCTTCGCTTTCATGGTGTCATAATTGTTGAAGGCACTCAATTTCTATACACTGATAAGTGAATTTGGTGTTGGCTTGGCACTAAATGCTAGTGTTTTCATTGCCCTGTAATTTGTGGGAATAATGGGTGGACATTTCATAATTTCATTGAGAAAGAAAATGTTTATCTGACACCAAAATGAATTTTTGTATATAGAGTAATGTGTTGTGTTTTCCAGAGGCAATTATGTTACTTTTCTAGTACTACTGTGTTATGATAACCTAGTTTACACATGTATATTGTATGAGTTTCCTCACTTTCATGTTGTAATAATTATGAAAGGAACTTACTTTATATCCACTAGGAAGTGAAGTCCAAGTTTCTTGGCATGAACATGAAGCACAACTGTTTTCTTTTGCCCTGTTATATGAGATATGATAGAATGGGCATTTCGTTATTTTGTGGAATTAAATTTTTATTATGGTATTTTTATTATTTGTTAGAACAAGGCATTTGGATATCCTGGGGGAAATTTAGCAACTGTTCCAATACTACTATATTGTAGAGTAATGTATTTACAGAACTAATTAATTCGTCTTACTAACAGTTCAATTATTGTGATATTTTCTTTGTAGGACACATTGATCATTCTGCAAGGGTTATGCGAGTGATTACTTGGAATAGGTCTTTCAGAGGCTATCTCAATACCGATGATGGGATGGACGACTTTGATTCAGAAGAGCATGAAACACATGCAACGGTGCTGGATAAGATGCTAGCATGGGAGAAAAAGCTTTATGATGAAGTGAAGGTACATTTCAGCATTCCATTCAATTATATTTTCACCTTTTGGCCTTGCATTTTTTTCTTTTGCAACAACTGATCATGATTCAGATTTTCTTTTGCTGTGCTTTTAACAATTGGAACCTTAGCTTCAATGAGATAGATTTAGGTGCATTTCTTTGACTCTTTGGCTTGTCATTTTTTTGTCTTTTCTGATTGCGATCTGAAAATTTGGTTGATTGAGACCTGAAAATTTGGTAATAAAAGCTATGATCGTCTTTGCAATCAGCAAAATTACCAGATTTGGGAAGTTCAACCACTCTCCTGCCCAAATTTGGTTCGGGAAGAAAACCTGTATTGGTTTCCAATAAAAGCTATGATCTTGTGTGGTGTATACAAAATTTAAACATATGTTGAAGTGCCAGTTTACATTGTAAACTTTGGCTTTTTCAAGTGTGTAATAGATTTGGCGGAGATTGCCAGAATCGATCAGAAGTCTTTCTTTCTCTCTTTCACATGAATTTAGTTAAGATTATATTAATAAAATCAGACTTTGAAGAAATTTAATATTGGGTATTTTTCTATTTAGAAGAAAAGTAGTGCAATTTTGCTAATTCATAGAAGTTATTTAATTACCTTTTATTATTTATGAGTTGTGAATGTAGATGTCTATTAATCACAATGCTATGTGGCCTTAAAAGGTACATAAAATACAATATGTTTGAGAAAATAGTTTGTTGGAACCAAAATGTCGATTAAAAACTATTAAAAATATTCAAATTGTGATAAATAAGGTAAGAACACATTATCTATGAGTTTTTTGGCATTTGCTAGTGCTTGAATAAATTCATTTTTTTTGTTTCCGATTCTGATACACATTGACTTATACTCCTAATTTCCGTTTCACATGACAACGTCCGTTACGCCAGCTGATGCCGCAATTTAGAACCATGATTGGGATATAATTGAAATTATATGAGATTTAGGGGATTAGGGGATTTCTATCTCTTGTCCATGTCAAGGTCTAGAAAATTTTCTCTACTACCAAGTGTGAGCTTTTTCTCCTTCAAGCATTGTAAAAATCAGAGGATTCAATCGTCCAATTTGGAACCTTGGAAACATGGATTCCATTCCACCATATTTCTAGTTTTGCATTCTTACTAATCTCACTAGTAAACTGAATAAAAGGGAGGTCCATGAAACACGTAGTAAACAAACTCAATTTTCATGTTGCTACTAATTTATTAGTAATTATCACAAGGTGTGCACTGAAGGCTTCATGGTGTGACCAACTGCACTTGCGAACTTAATCTGCCTTTCCATTGTTTATCTTGTATTAGTCATATAACTTCAGAATACCCTGTTTCCTTCATATACATGCCATGTTCATGGTTAAAACTTAAACTTTTGTTGTGTGCTGATTGATGCTCTACAGGCCGGGGAGCAGATGAAGTTTGAATATCAGAAAAAGGTTGCTTCACTGAATAAGCTAAAGAAACGTAATGCTAGTACTGAATCAATAGAGAAAACAAAAGCAGCATTAAGTCATCTGCATACAAGATACATTGTCGACATGCAGTCCATGGATTCTACTGTGTTGGAAATAAATCGTTTGCGAGATGAGCAATTGCACCCAAAACTTGTTGCACTTGTTGATGGGTAAGTTCCAATTCAGGGAAACAATTATATTGAAAGTACAGATACAAAACCTGCCTGATTTATATTGAATATTGTCTTCATGAACAGTTTATTGTTCCTCTTCTTGTCATATGATCTTATTGACACATCTAGGCTCTGTTTTAATAGATGGATTTCAGATGAAGGGATTTGAAGTTGAATTTTATAAAAAATATAGGAGATTAAGCTATTATAGATGGATTAATAAACTAAAGGGGAAGAAAATTAGGGATAGAGATGTATCTTTATTGGGATCCTTGTAGAAATAATCCCTAGCACGAAGGATTTCAATAACTATTTTGACATTGTTATTTCATATTCATCATGACAAACGCCTCAAATTCAATCTTAAAATCCATATCTAAATTTACGTTATTCTCCTTCAATAAACGATGCTAAATCCTTTCATTTTAAATTCATAAATTCAAACACTAATCTCTATGTCCTCTCGATATTTATTTTTTCATTTCCGTAGAATTGTCTACTTAGGAAGCCCACTTTTATGCTTACCTTTTTTAGAGCTTGCAGCTCTCATCAACCCTGAAGCCTCTTTTGTTTGTACTTTGTTTAGAATCTAATATGACTCTTGTTTGCATATTCACTGGAAAATTAGGTCAAGTTTGGCTAAACTAAAAAAGTGTACTTATTTCATCTTTTTATCTTTTTTGGGTCACATCAATCAACATCTCAACCTTTTTTAGAGCTTGCAGCTCTCATCAACCCTGAAGCCTCTTTTGTTTGTACTTTGTTTAGAATCTAATATGACTCTTGTTTGCATATTCACTGGAAAATTAGTGTCATATAAAGCTTTCAACTAGGTGTGAGCTTTCCTAGTTCAAGTTTGTGATAAAATTTGGCATGTTAAGGAAGTGATGGGAAAACCACATAGAACTTTTAAGCTTCCTAGAAATTTCCTCAAAAACAAATACTATTATCTGGTGTTTCAAATATAGCCTTATGTGGCAGGCATATGGAACTTGGCTTATTTGTATTAAATATTTTCTTCATGAATGGTTTGTTGTTCCTCTTCTTGTCATATGGACTTATTGACACATCTGATCTTTGCCTCCTTTTACCTTTTCTCTCCTTATTTTTTCGTTATTTCCATAGAATTTACTACTTGGGATGCCCACTTTGTCTGTACCTTTTTTTGAGTCTCTCTCTCTCTCTCTCCTGAAGCTCCCTTTTCGTTGTACTCTGTTCAGAGTTTCATATGACTATCTTCCATTTGCGTACATACAGTCAAATTAGTGACGTATAAAGCTTTCAACAATGTGCAAGCTTTCCTACTTAAAGTTTGTGGTAAAATTTTGCATGTTAAGTGATAGTAAAACCACATAGAACTTCAAAGTTTCCTTGAAATTTCTTCAAAATAAAATACTATTATCTAGTGTTCAAATATGAGAATTAAGGCCATTTTCTTATTCTTGGCACCAAGTTTATTGCTCGTGCAATTAGAGGTTCTTATGGGGAATTCACCTATTTTTCACTCTGTTATTGTTAATTACCAGGGAATTTAATTCCAAATATTTCTTCCTTTCCCAATTATTGCACCATCTTTCGCCATAGATTATGGATCCTCAGAAGTCAGATTATGAATTTAGTTGTAAAGTAAACATTTCTTTGGGGTCACGCATGCCAAGTGAGATAATCCTTATCTCATACAATCAAAGTGGTTTTCTGTTTTAGTATTCTTTTATTCAATATCATCGCAGGAAGCATTGCTATCCTATTTCGGTTTTTAAAATTGGTTAACATATGTATTCCACATGGACCAATATAAAATTTACTATACAATTGACTTCATAAGTTAACTACAGATGTTCTGGATTCTAATTATTATGTTTTTGTAAAATGTGTCTTCAGATTGATGTAATGAAACACCCAATAGCTTTGTTGGATATTTCAGTTGCCTCAAATTAACCCGAGTAGATATTTCTTGAACTTGTTGATATTACCCCCTGGTTACTAAGGTTAAACTTTGTTACAGCCATTGGAATTGAGTACCATACTGTGTTTGTCAAATAATGACAAAATGTTGGAATCAGGGAACTCATGCTACTTCACATTCCCAATTATTGCACCATCTGTCACCAGTCTGGATCCTCTGCCTTTCATTGATGGTGTTTTTGTTTTGAAGGATTAGGGTGTGAGGTTGGACTATTAGTCTCACTGGACAAATATGGGATTATTAGTCCCATATTTGTGGGACTATCCTATCCCATGAAGGGGGAGTGGGATTATTTTTATGAGATTGGTATCCCATGGGATTAAGCTCTGAAATGTCCATTTTACCCCATGTTATTACTTAGCAAACAATTAGAAAATGGTAAAATAGTCTTTTGAACATTTATAATTTATTTTTTTAGTGTTGTTAATTTAAAATTATATATTAAATAAAAAATTTAAATTATAAATTATAAATTAAATTTAATTAAAAATAATAAATTATAAATTATGGCCTTATAAATTAAATTTTTTTTAGTGTTGTTGAAAATTTAATTTATATATTAAATAAAATTATTTTTTATTGTTGTTAATTTAAAATTATATATTAAATAAAAAATATAAATTATAAATTATAAATTTAATTTAATTGAAAATAATAAATTAAAAATTATGACCTTATAAATTAATTTTTTTTAGTGTTGTTAAATTATAAATTATAGATTACAAATTTAAAATTATATATTAAATAAAAATTATAAATTACAAGGGTAAAATAGTCTTTTGAACTTTATCCTTATTCAGTCCGTCTAACCAAACATTAGATTCACTAAAAATAATTTAATTCAGACATCTAATCCCATGACTAAACAAACATAGGATATAAATTTAATCCAACCAAATAGTCCGGGGACAATGTATCCCGAGACTAATAGTCCAATGAATTACAATCGTGCTTTATCCAGTCCGTCCAAACAAACACACCCTGAATGTTTGGAAGGAGAGGATTGGAAGGTCCTTTTAGGAGATCAAGCTGCCCTTGCTTAGATTGAAGAGTGTTATGGCTCAATTTTCCCAGTATTCCATGAAAGAGAAGTTCTCAGATTTGTTATCTATTGTGGATTTTTCAGATGACTTGGGCTCCATGGAAGAAGCTAGTTTGGTGCTTATATGAATTTTGACAAATGACAAATTTACTGTCATCTTCATTGCTGTACATCTATGAAGCACCAAGATTTTAAAACAAGGGTCGTATCTGTGTCGGACACATGGATACTTTGGGGACACATATGGGACAAACCACATGACGTGTCTTCTTATTTAATTAATTTATTTTTAGGAGACACGCCGGGGACACTTCAGGAATACACTAGAGACATGCCAAGTTTTTTTTCTTATTTTATTTAGTCCTTTTGATGAATGTTGAATGTTTATTATTATTTTTTAGATTTAAAACTTAATAGATCATCCATAAAAAAAAGATATAAACTATAAATATTAATTTAAAAGTGTTTAAAAAAAAATAATATTAGAGTTAGTTTTTGTTAATATTGATTGTTTGTAGATGTAATATTAATCTAGATAGCTAATAAAAACACATGAAAACATATTTTATTGTCGTGTCCCCGCTGTGTCTGTATCCCTATTTTTTTGAAATCACCGTGTCCCATATCCGCATCCGTGTCTGTATCCGTATCCGTGCTTCTTAGCTGTACGTTGTGTATATTTTGGTTTATGCCCCTATGTTTGCAAATATACCTTATGTCTTAATTGTGTATATTCACTTACAAAATTCATGTTCCATCTCTTATTTGCATTATGTTTAATAGTACTGACAAATTTATATACTATGTTGTCTTAACTGCAAAACCATAAATTTTTTGTGCATGGATGGCAGGATGGGTACAATGTGGGCGACCATGCGGACACACCATGAGAACCAGTCAAAGATAGTGATAGCATTAAAATACCTTGACATCTCTCAATCCCCGGAATATACAACTGATCATCATCACGAGCGGACATTACAGCTGTTGGCTGTTGTCCAGGACTGGCAGGAACAATTCGAAAGACTCATGGGCCAACAGAAGAATTACATAAAATCACTCAACAATTGGTTGAAGCTAAATCTCATTCCAATAGATAATAACTTGAAAGAGAAAGTTTCATCCCCTCAAAGGCCCCAAAGTCCCCCAATTCAATCCCTCCTGCATGCCTGGCATGATAGTCTCGAGAAGATTCCAGAAGATATTGCAAGAACTGCTATATCTAACTTTGCAGGTGCTGTAAAAACTATATTGCAGTGTCAAGAAGAAGAGATGAAATTGAGGGACAAATGCAACGACACCCAAGATCTTCTTACCCGCAAGAATCAACAGTTTGAAGACTGGTATCATAAACACATGCAGCGAAGAACACCGCCTGATGGGATGGATCCAGAGGGGCCGCAAGAGGATGAACTTGTCGCAGAAAGGAGGTTAGTGGTGGAGACACTGCAGAGGAGGTTGGAAGAGGAGAGAGAAGCTTATAGCCACCAGTGTATTCAAGTGAGGGAGAAGTCTCTGAATAGTCTGAAAGCTCGCTTGCCGGAGCTTTTTCCAGCATTGTCATATTTCACTAGTGCTTGTTCAGATATGTACGGTAACTTGAGGTCCATTTCACAGTCCCATAATTTGAATGGGGGCTCATAATCAAAATGTTTGCTTGATTTTGTATGATTGCTTGTGTTGTGTATAACTTAATTATTTTTGTGGGAACTGAGGCCCTTAAAATTTTAAACTTGTCTTTGTCGATCTATTTTTGAGTTTTGGCACAAAGGGATCTTATTCATAATGTTGTCTTTATTTGTTGCGTGTTTGTGATTTGAGGACATGCGTTTTCATTCTCCTTATTCGTTTGTTTTGACAAAAAAATATTTTCTTATATTTGATTTTGTTTTTTAAACTAATGTATTAGTGGTGATAGGGGTGGTGGTGGTGATAGCATGAGTAAGATTTTAATTAAGAAAATATTTTTTACCTTTATTAAAAGTAAAAAATATTTTTTATTTAAATAAATTTATTTTGTCGATCATAGATTATATATATATTTTTTTGATTTAGTTTTGGTTTTCTGTTTTTAATGCTAAAATATGTTTAAAATATATATTTTTAAAAATATTGTGTCTGGAGCTTTAATAGATTTTACTCTTTTATATATTTATTTATTTGTCATATTTCATCAATTTTAATTGGAAACACAAGTTTTGAAGTTAAAAAAACTCTTGATTTGGATACAGTATGGACTAATCCATTGTTTGATTGATTGTAGATTACGTTTTATGTGCTGTGTCTTTTGGTTCTTAACTTTTGTATTCTTTGCATCACCTTGATGCTTTCTCAATAAAGCTTGTTTTATTTATCCCAAAAAAAAAAAAAAAAAAAAAGAGAAAGAGAGAAAAGAAAAGAAAAAGAAAAAGAAAAAGGAGGAAAATTTTATAACGCATATATTATGTACACTTTTAGTTATGACTTTTGTATATTAGTTATGACATTATTTTAATTAAGGCATATATTATATACACATTATTTAAATATTGTGATACTAGTTATGACATTAGTTATGATATCATTGTGATATTAGTTATGACATTATTTTACTTTTGTACTGTTTTATAAGGCGTATAATAATATTAGTTATGACATTATTTTAATTAAGATAAAATTTGTTTTAGTGATATTATCTCGAAACATTTCACATCCTTAATATTTAAATAACAATATTAGGGATATTAACAATATTACTAACACACTCATAAAACTCACACATTTTGATAAAATCAATCAGCACTTAATATAGGGTCCATATTAACGCACGAGTATATAATAAGATTATAAGTATTCATAATATTTTTTATATTTAAAAATATTGTGATACTAGTTATGACATTAGTTATGATATCATTGTGATATTAGTTATGACATTATTTTACTTTTGTACTGTTTTATAAGGCGTATAATAATATTAGTTATGACATTATTTTAATTAAGATAAAATTTGTTTTAGTGATATTATCTCGAAACATTTCACATCCTTAATATTTAAATAACAATATTAGGGATATTAACAATATTACTAACACACTCATAAAACTCACACATTTTGATAAAATCAATCACCACTTAATATAGGGTCCATATTAACGCACGAGTATATAATAAGATTATAAGTATTCATAATATTTTTTATATTTAAAAATAACTACAAAATCCTCTTGTGATTTTACCCGTTTTGCACTTCATCTCCCCACAATAACTAATTCCGTTTAAATGGACAAAATTTGTGACACACGCACCTATATTGGGAGTTGACAATGAAAATAAATGCATTCTCAGTCAAAATACAATACAAAATGTCAAATATACCCTTATCTTTATTCTCTTTTCCAAATCAAGATAAAAACTTAAAAGGGACTTAGGCATGTGCATGTTTTAGTTTAAAAGTCAAGAAATTATTAAAAAAATTAAATAATTTATAATTTATATTAAAAAGTCAAAGTTTATTTATTTATTTATTTACTTTTTACATATCTTTTTATAAAAAACTAATAGTCATTTCAAATATATTATTTTTTTACCTCACATTTTAGTTAAAAAGTCAAAAAATTATTAAAATAGCCTGTTCCCAAACGAGGCCTTAGGTTTTAATAAGTAAACTTATTGTCCAATAGGCCCTGTGAGAATTAATGACGTTTTTCATCAAACGCTATTAAAAAATATCACTGATTGTTAATTTTCAATGATAGTTTGAAAATTGTCACAAAAATATTACTAATTATAAGTTTTAGTGACAGTTTAAAAAAATCGTTATAAAAGAATATTATTAATTTTTAACTTTTAGCGACAGTTTGAAGAAATCATCATAGAAAAACGTTACTAATTGTAAGTTTTAACGACAATTTATAAAAATCGTATCAAAAAGTCAATAATTGTCAATTTATAGAGACATGTGCAAAAAAATCGACACAAAATTATTTTTAAAGACATTTTTATTAAGACTTATTTTTCAATAAAATTTGATAAGAATTAAATCAAATTATTAAAACTTATTAATAATTTTCCCAAACCTTCTCAACCATAAAATCCCTAACCCACTAGTCACCTTCCTACTGCCTTTCCCTCTGAGTCCAGATCCCCTCCTTGAGGCCAATTATTTTTAAAGACATTTTTATTAAGACTTATTTTTCAATAAAATTTGATAAGAATTAAATCAAATTATTAAAACTTATTAATAATTTTCCCAAACCTTCTCAACCATAAAATCCCTAACCCACTAGTCACCTTCCTACTGCCTTTCCCTCTACCCTAAACCTCTACCACTTGCCACTACTACTTTTCCCTCTTCTCCATTGACCCCACCACCCTACCACCCATCACCCTTTGTCACCACTCTCTCTCAAGTCCTCCATCACCCTCACAGTAAAGATTAGTAGATATTAAAGAATTTTTTTTGATCGGCAAATATTAGTTATTAATTGTTAGATTAGTACATATGAGAGAAAACATTTCTTCTATTGACAAAGTATCTAAATACTTGCACTCTCTTAATTCAACTTTCTTAATAAAAAAAGAAAGAATGAATAATGTTATATGTACTAATTAATATACACTAATGTATTAATAGATTATATGACATAATTCATATGGCTTTGGGAGTAAATGAAATTTAGAAATTTATATTTATCTAAATATATATATATATATAAAAATATGAACGGTTCGGATTATCAAAACTGGGCCTCAAAGTAGACCCGAAGGCCCATGCAAGGAGGGAATGAAGGAGGGGCTCAAGGGGAGGATCCCAATTCTTTCCCTCTACCCTAAACCTCTACCACTTGCCACTACTACTTTTCCCTCTTCTCCATTGACCCCACCACCCTACCACCCATCGCCCTTTGTCCCCACTCTCTCTCAAGTCCTCCATCACCCTCACAGTAAAGATTAGTAGATATTAAAGAATTTTTTTTGATCGGCAAATATTAGTTATTAATTGTCAGATTAGTACATATGAGAGAAAACATTTATTCTATTGACAAAGTATCTAAATACTTGCACTCTCTTAATTCAACTTTCCTAATAAAAAAAAGAAGAAAGAATAATATTATATGTACTAATTAATATACACTAATGTATTAATAGATTATATGACATAATTCATATGGCTTTGGGAGTAAATGAAATTTAGAAATTTATATTTATCTAAATATATATATATATATACATACGTATAATTTAAGATATATGTTGCATTATATATATTTGATAGTATAGATGTATATATGTGCATAATTTAAGATGTAGTTTAGTAAGAGGATAGATTAAAATGTTATAAATTAAGTTCAAAAAATAAATGTGTGTGCATATAACAGATGAGAGTGAAGATAAGAAGATGAAAAAGGAAATAGAATAGAAGGGCAAGAAAGTCAATTTACATTAGATGTTAACGGGATTAATATTGCATTTTAGTTCAAAGGCATATTACCGTTTTTAAAACATTAGAGAGATGAAATGTTTTAGAGTCCTATCACAAGGATTAAAATGAATTTTTATTTTTTAAATATAATTCAAATTTTTTTTGATTATATCTTAAACACTGTTTGGTTGTAACTTATTTTTCTATATTTAACATTAGCCAAAACAAAAACAATCAAGAACAATCAAACAAGCTAAAGTGGGCCCTAAATTGGGTCCACCGAAGCTTCCTCTCAACTCACCACCCCCAAAAAGCCCAAAGGCGCCAAACCAGTACACTCCACTCCACTCCATCTCCTCCTCTCCCTCTCTCTGTATCTCCGAACCAAAACACACTCAACAAGAAGAACAAAACCACGTCGTTTTTACACCATGCCTCCATCAAAACCCGCCGAACTAACACCTTATCACTACCACCAAGAACAAGAAGAAGTAAACTACGTCGTTTTACCATTCTATATCCTCCCCGAGTCCTTCCGCCGCCGCAAGCAGCGCCGGTGCCGCCTCATCTCCGCCGCCGCATTCCTCCTCCTCCTCAGCCTCTCCCTCTACTCCCTTTGGCCCTCTGAACCCTACCTCAATCTCTCCCGCCTCCGCCTCCATCGCATTCACATCCACACCGTCCCTTCCATCTCCGTCGACGTCGCATTGAATCTCACCGTCAATGTTCGCAACGTCGATCTCTTCTCCATCGATTACAACTCCATCGTCGTCTCGATCGGGTACAGGGGGAAGCAGCTAGGGCTCGTTACATCGGATCGTGGATACGTGAGACCCAGGGGGTCTTCGTACGTGAATGCTACGCTTGAGCTTGAAGGAGTTGAGGTTCTCTCTGATGTGATTCTCTTGCTTGAAGACTTGGCTAGGGGTTCGATTGCGTTCGATACGGTTACTGAATTTCACGGCAAGCTAGGGTTCTTCTTCTTCGATGTTACTCTCAAGGTAGATTGATTATATACATATATGTATGTATGTATGTATGTATGCAAATGAGTAGTATTTTGATTGTTTGATTCATCAAGTTATTTAATAATCTTTTATCTGTGATTCGTGAAGCATATGGTAGATTTTAGTTTTGAAGTTTATTTCAAAGATGTCTAATAATGATGTACATCTTGTCTGTTGTTGATTAGTATAAAGGAATAAAGTGATTAATACTTTGGAATTTGACAGTCTTTAAAAAAAAAAAAGAAAAGAAAAGAAAAAAGAATGATCGGATTTCTCACCTAAGTCGGAATAAAAAAATGAATCAGCTTGTTTGGTTTGATTGGAATTTTCTGAATTTATTTTTTAAAAAGTTAAATGTTTTTGTTTTCTATATATATTTTTTCTGAATTTTTTTGAATAATTACGTAATTTTTTTAATTTTTAGATATATGTAACATAAATATATTTAATTTTTTTTAAATTTTTTTAAAAAAATGTGCAAAAAGTAAAGAGAAAATAGAATCTTTGACTTTTTGATATAAATTGTTGATTTTTTTGATTTTTTAAGTGATTTTTTGACTTTTAAACTAAAAAGTGATATTATCAAACGAGACTTTACGTATTATTTTGTATTTAACATTTAACGGGATAATTTAGGTATTATATATATATATATATATATTTGTGATTTTGTAGAGAGTAATTTTAATTTTTTACTAAATACTTTTTTTGGTAAAACAAATTTTTTTTTGATAACTTAATATCCAGTGTATTAGACCGACTAATCTAATCTCATCCTCCACTTATGAGAGTCCCAAGTAAAGTCAAGACAAAACCCCGTATGTTGTAACAAAACTTAGGCTCTGTTTGGTTTGGAATACAAAATATAGTTCCACCACTGATTTGAGTGTGGTATTTGGTTGCAGCTTTCAAATCATAATTCCACACCCATTTCTTAAAACTCATTTCAAACTATAATCATTACTTTTCAAAACTCATAACCAAACACATAACTCAAAACTCTTTTTAAAACTAAAAAACAACTTAATTTTTATTTTAAATATTTTTTATTTTTTTATTTTAAATATTTTATTTTATTTTATAGGAATATTTTTAATATTTTAATTTTCATAAAAATATTTTAATATTTTAATTTTAAATATTTTGATTTTCAGAATATTTTTAATATTTTAATTTTCATAAAAATATTTTAATATTTTAATTGTAAATATTTTGATTTTCAGAATATTTTTAATATTTTAATTTTCATAAAAATATTTTAATATTTTAATTGTAAATATTTTGATTTTCAGAATATTTTTAATATTTTAATTTTCATAAAAATATTTTAATTTTCTAAGAGACAGATAAAGAAGAGAGATAGAGAGAGAGAGAGACAGAGATAGAGTGATGAGCGAGAGAGAGAGATAGACAAAGTGGTTGCTAAAAG